ATTGCAGTTCTCGTACTGATAGTAATGGCTGGTTTATTTGTCTGCCTCCTTTACGCTATGAAGTTCTTCAAATAAATAGTTTAGCCTGGCTATTTAATTTTATCGTGTTTTTTTTTTTGTTGGTTTGGCTGGATGTGGTGTAACTATGAAAGTTAATGAAAATATATATCCCTTGGGTTTGCAATTTTTTGTACAACGAGCAGCTATGGTTAGGAGGAACACTAGCAAATATTGTTACTTACAAATTTTTTTACCAAAATAGGTCATTATGTAAATCAATTCATCAAAATAATATATTTTTTTAATTTTTTACAAAACTAGTATAAACATACTTCGTAGTAATGTTTTAGGGTATATTTTATTAAAAAAAATTAAGTTGTGTGAAATATTGTGGCTAACGGCGTTAAATCAAGAAACGTAACTTTGAGCTAGTAACGTTTTTGTCTAATACGCTACTCTAAAGTACGTTTTACGCCTAAAATGTAACGTTTATTAAGAATTCACAGGCCGTCGAATTAGAATCAAATCTTGCAAATTACTGACCTAAAATGTTAGTGGTAACGTTTTATACCTTAAACCTTACTCATAGTAAAACAATCAAATATTCTAACACTAGCTCAATGTTATAGGATGCCGAATTATTGGATTTATACATTGCAATTGCGAGGAAGGTTGCATTAGTGGTAAACAAATTTACTTTTTCCTTTCCATTTTTAGTGTAGCACCATGACATTTTGATATATATGTATCTTAGACTATTCAAAAGAAGCAACAAAATGCTACCTACCTGAATTGACACAAGAACCAGATCACCAGGGTAACGTTGTCAGCTTATTTGGAACACATTGACAACTTAATTGTGTATTTCAAAAAGCAAAACTTAGTTCTTGGTCCAATTAATTAACAAGGTACCAAAGCCAAACTCTTTATTATGTTTTCAATTGACTCCTTAGACATTTATAGTGTGTGATCAAAGACGATATAGAAGACAAATAAGGGAATTTCAGATAATACAAGACATTGCTTTGTTGATTACAAATATGAGTCGGGTGAAAAAAAGAAGATTACAAATATGAGTCTAGAGATTATACCAATAATTTGGTATTGTACATGAGCTGGACTGGAGCTGCTGAACGGGTTTCAATGTTTGTGCTTAATGTGTTGAGCTCAAGTTCATAAGCTTGTGACATGTGATAGAATGTTGCATTTGAGGTGAAGACCGATTTCCTCGAGTCCTTGAGCCCAACCACCTCTGTCTAAAGAAGACAAAAATACGAAAGTAAGAAAAATATTGAAAAAGAATTAGACCCCCCAATAGTTACTATACAATAAAATCTAGTGACACTGAGGTAAGATTAACTTAAATGAAAGCTTTAATACTCACATTGCTTGGAGCATGTGAGTATATGTCATTCTCGATTCTACGAGAAAGAGTTCATTATCCTTTCCCACAACAGTTCTGGCACAAGCAATTGACACCCTCTATGCGACAGCTCCAACTACTCCTTCATGCATGCTACAAAAAATATTCACCTGACACAGACTATATGAATCCTCACTGACCATGTTTCTTCGTTTAAATTTATCTCATGCCATCATATAAAGTAAATGAAAAGTAAAAAATGCTCGAAGAGTAGAAGTTCTCTCTATTTTCTATTAGCATAAGAATCTCTTAAAGGCTAAAAGACTCCTGGAAAACTTTAAGAAACTATTTTCAATTGAACTAGTCACTGACCATGTGCATATTTTGAAGTCTACTAGGCACCACAAAAAATGATCTAGTTTCACTTCACTTTCACCTAATCATGATATTCTCCTATAGTTTAGCTATAAAATTTTGTTCTGAACATTATATCTTTCATATATCAAGCTAATCTCTTAGAAAACTGAACATGTATTTATGAATTGTCTGAATATAGATATGATAGCTGCAGCCCCATCAAAAATCACTTCACCTCCCTTATATGTTCCCAGGCCATCATATAAAGTAATTTGTATCAGCTATATGAATCCTCACTGACCAACAGTTCTCAATTTAAATTTATCTCAGGCCATCATATAAAGTAAATGAAAAATAAAAGATACTAGAAGTTCTCTCTATTTTCTATTGGCATCAGAAACATTGTACAATGTACTGTGAAACTTCAGATTAAGCCTCTCACCAAAGATTAGCACATTTAATTCACTGCTCTCAAGTTCCTAGTTTTAGTACTAACCTGCAAATTGTAATACTGGATACTGAAGCAATATCTGAAACCTCTCCATTATAGTTCTTGGCCTTGCCGGGGGAGTTCTTGGCCTCAGTTTTTGTTACTATTTGCTTTGACAAATGATTTGTCAATCTCTTATGGTCCTCGTTGACTCATTATGTTATAAACACCAATTCAGCTGAAGTTGCACATACGCCTAGTCGAGTCAGCAGCCAGGTCAATATTCCTCAAGTAACAGAAAGCGTGAGACACAGCACAAGAGTGAGAAAGCACCAACAAAGTTAACAGATTTCGTTTGGCATCCAAGTAATGGAACGCGTGAAGTGTGAAACAAGAAATTAGGAGAGTTGGCACTATATATAAATACCCAGTAGCATAAGCATTGGATTAGGCTTGTTCTATGTGAAAGTTCTGGGTCCCCTCATCCCCATTCTATCTGTCGTTCTCATCTCCTTCTTGTAGCTTTTAATTTCCCTACACTTCATTATCAGTAATATTTCCTTTGTAATAGACAGTTAGCAATACAATTACCATTTGGTGACATTGAGTTCATTCTACATTACCAAGTATTGGATCACCATTCACAGGTAAGCCATACTACACTTCTACATCTTGCCAGGTGATTGTTGCCTCTCCCGTCCTAACGTAAAACGTATGAGTCTCAAGACACCATCTCTCTACTAGTGAAGTGATCAAGCTACGATCAACAATAGGCCGATTTGATCTATAAATACCATATAATCCTGATAATTAGTCACTTCTAAGACTCGCGGATGGATGTGATATTTCCTTTCGAGGTCCCAAAACTTTCCATCACACCTCCTCGTATTGAAAATCGTATTAACACTTTCATCCCATATATCTCAAACCTATGGGTAAGTTGTTAGGCTAATACAGATGGTTCAAGTAGACTGGAATCCAGTTGATATGCACTATAACCAGCCATATAAGTACCTATAAAAATGAAACACACATATTTTCACTTTCTTTCATCTTTTTAAAAAATAAATAAAAATAATAGAAACAAGAAACAGTGATTAGCTAGCTAGTAGAGGCAGATTGCAAGGTCAGCCTCATAGTTATAGTTTTCCCTTCCATTTTCCTGTAAACATTTTTTTTTTTCATTGTTTCTCTTTGCATCACATGTATGAATCCTCTAAATGAAAACACACATACAAAAATCCAAATTGCTTGACTGGATCTTTTTAGCATTATTCTACATAAACAAAAATGATATAAATACGAGAATATAGAAATACTAAAATCCAAGCATTCCTTCTACTATTTTATAAGAAAAAAAAACATACCTCAAACACAGAAAAAATAACTTGGTTCCAAGCTTTTCGAAAGATTTATAGCTTTAATTTGTCGTGAAACTCATTAAAACAAGAAAACCCCAAAATTGATTTTGAAGTATAAGAGCTACCGTACTCTTCGGGGTGGCCCAGTGGTTTGGGCTTGGGACTTCCATGTTGGAGGTCTCAAGTTCGAAACCTCTTGCCAGTGAAAGCAAGGGGTTTGCTTCTGGGTCGAGCTCGTCGAACCGGACTTGGCTAGTGCGGGTTACCTCTCCTATGTGATTTGCGAGCTATTACATAGGAGTGGGAGTTTTATCCTGTGCGCACCCAAATATAGCGACTGCGGGTTTTTCTTGTCATAAAAAAATAATATAAGAGCTACCGTTTATCCACGAAATGGGTTTTGATCCATTCTTTGTCTTCCTGTGTTTTTGTTCTTTGACACCTTCTCTTCATCCACAAATTATCGACGATGATTGGGAATGGAGTTGTGAGGGCTGGAAAATTTTTGAATCAGGGAAAGAGTTTTACAGCAGTGGTTTGAAAGGGTTTTACATCAGTAGGTTTGAAAGGTAATGGATATTGAAGGTAATAAAAATAAACGATACCGTTTGGTTGAGAGATGTGGGCCCCTATTACGTTTTAATCTAAAATCGTTACTGGCAGTAACGTATATTCACTTAACGCTGTTTTATTTTTTTTTAAAATATGCCCTAAAATTGTGAAGTACGTTTATACTAATTTTGTAAAGATTTTTAAAAACGTATTATTTTGGTGAATTGGTTTAAATAGTGATTTATTTTGGTAAAAAATTCCTTATAATGCATTATGATATGAACAAAGAATTTTTGACCAAACTAAGCTATTATTTAAACCAATTCACCAAAATAATAAGTTTTTAATTTTTTTTTACAAAACTAATATAAACGTATTTCTCAGTAACGTTTTAGGGTATTTTTATTTTAACAATTCAATGGACAAAAAGGCGACGTTAAATGAAAAAACTGTGACTAACGTTTTAAAGTTAATAAACGTCAGTAACGTTTTAGGTGTAAAACGTTACTCACAATAACAAGATTGGTGTACACGATTTTTTTATCGAACTATTGAACGGATTTAGCAATGTATCTACTTAATGCGTTGACCTTAACTATAATCACCTCTGTCTAAGGAAAATAAAAATATGAAAGTAAAAAAAATATAAAGAATGAGACCTCCTAATGGTTATTATACTATAAAATTTGCAAATTGTATGAATCCTCACTAACCAAATAGGCCATCATATAACGTAATTTGTATAAACTTTATATCATTAGCTGATTAGAGGTGGAAGTATAACCCCCATCTTAGCAAAATTGCTTTCCATAACCATTGGAAAAACACAAACCATGCCTCAAACAAAATAGACAATTGGAAATGCTCAGATTGCTAATACTTCAAACAACTCGAAATGTTAGAGACTATACAATTAGTAATACTATTAAATACCACTTTCACAAACTTGAAGAGTATAAGTTTAACTTCACAATTCAAATTTAAATACCATTACTAATAGAGTACTAAAAACCACTATTCACAAACTTTGAAGGAATCACAACGTAATTACAAAAGGACGAGATAGTATTTTGAGAATATACGCCTAGCGACCACTTTGTAGCTCTCAAACAAGTATGACATGTGCTCGTATTCAAACAAAGTCGTGTTAGCTTTTTGCGTTGCCTCAATAGCTCATTTCTGCATAAATTAGGAGTTAATAGAGAATTCTTGTCAAATAATACATACCCAAACATTATAAATAATGATATGACAATGTTTTTTTCTAAGCCAACTGAACACAATGTTGATTTTTAACTAGTTCTAAAACTACTTGCACAATGTCAATTTTTTGGGATGTGTTCTAAAAGCTTTTTTGGCATATTAACAGAAGACAGGTCAGTTACACTTGCGTTAATGCAGCAAATATACACCCTTCATAAAATATATGTGACTATATGAATCCTCACTAACTATGTTTCTCTATATAAATTTACCAGGTAAAACCAGAGGGAGCAAGCTCTATTTGATATAGTCCTCAAGGACCTTTTTTGCAACCATAGCAGGAAAGATTAGATTCAGCCATTGTTTGTAATAAAATTTTCAAGGCACAATCTCAGCTGAAAATAGTTATCAGTTGTTCTTTAATATGCAGAACCAAGCAATTAAAATGAAAAACACAGTACAAAGTTCATAGCCATAGAACTAGGGCAGCTACTAAGCATATAAGCTGAAACCTTTCAAGAATAAACATATCCCAGTATTTGTCAATTGTGTTCCATATGAAAAGGGAATAAAGCCAACACAAAGGGTTGTGACTACACCAAAATTTCAAGAACTTACTGACCTTCAAAAGGGCCATAAAATATGCTCTGTTCATTGTAGCTCAGATGAAGGGCAACCAATGCAGGTACTTTGTCAAAATCATAAATTCCATCCTACATAAAACACCCTCCACAGATTAAATAAGACCCCAATTTCAATTCCTTGGGCTACAAATATTCACCTAGCACAAGCTATATGAATCCTCACTGATCATGTTTCTTCCGACCATCAAAAAATCTACCACAACCAATTATAGTAATTAATACACATGTCCCTAGTCCATCATATGAAGAAATTTGTATCAGCTATGAATCCTCACTGACCAACGTTTCAGGCCATCATATAAAGTAAATGAAAAATAAAGACGCTAGAAGTTCTCTCTATTTTCTATTGGCATCAGAATCATTGTACAATGTAATGTGAAACTTCAGTTTCAGCCTGTCAACAAACTTAGCACATTTAGTTCACTACTCTAAAGTTTCAAGTTATAGTTAAGCTTAGATACCTGAAACCTCTCAATTACACTTCTTTGTTTCTCTTTGCTTGTTTCTTTTTGCCATGCTAGTAAAGATAGTGACTCCCTGACAAGCAAGGGTAATTTTCAATTATTCAACTAAAACGAGGAGCATTTATGTCAAAAAATAATATAAAGATGTTAAAAGTACCAGTCCCACAACGCTTGGGAAAAATCATACGCTTCTCCTTCACTGATGGTTCACCACATTCGCCTGCATTCTCCACTTCATCGTTGGAATCATCCAATTCATTACTTTCTATATTAATGTTGGAGTCCTCTAAATTATAAACAACATCAAGGGTCTCAATGGACATTGGTAGTCCAGGTGATGAACTAAAGTTAGGGGCATTCTCAAAATGTTGAAGCAGAGAACCACCAAATAAATTCTCAAGTCACAAAAGACTTGGATTCCTTAATATTTGTGACGTCGTGTATGGAACAGTATCAGTATTTGTTGGTTGATATGTCATACCTGATGTCCCGGGAGTGAATTCCTGAGTTTGACCCCTTGAAATGGAACCAATATCACAAGTTGTGTGATCATCTTCCGAGGCTGATTCGTCCATTTCAATAGGCGTTCATCCTTTCTCAACAACACGAGCCCTTCTACCAGCAATACCACCTTTTCCTCGCCTACGAACATAGGATGTAAATGATCAGCATGTACCTCATTTCTCCTCAAAAGATAAATCACAAACACACAGAATTTAATACATATCATTGTTTAATATGCCGTTGAATTAAGATAGTTTACCTGTGAGGCAATTAACCTTTTGGACGAAAATGTTATAGTATATACTTGTTTTAGATTGAGATAATGTTAGTAATAAGCAATGGCATTATAGACTAGCCTAGCAAAGCATCTGATAACTAATCTAAGTTGAGTTTTGATTTTTAAAATATTGAGTTTGTTCTTGGGTTACTGTTGATTGAGTCGAGTTGATTCTTTCCAATTTGGCATTTTTCAATGTTCACTTTACAACATACATGAATCTTCTAAATAAGAACACGGCATACAAGAATCTAAGATATTAGATTGAATCTATTCAGAAGTATTCTACAAAACAAAAACGATATAAATATGAGAAGATAGAGATTCTTAAATCCAAACATTTCTTCTACTATTTTATAAGGAAAAAACATACCTCAAGCAAAGAAAAAATACTCTATTCCAACCTATATGATATTGCTTGTCATCTGAAAAAAATATAAAATCACAATATAATGATTGATCCACCACTGTACTAAAAATATAAAATCACAAAAGGTGGAAACCATTCCATTGCTGAGTACCAAAAAATCACCTGCAAACAAAAGAATGATTGATCCACCACTATACTAAGCCCTCTAGTAACAGCAAGAATTGAAAATGGAGTTGTAAGGGATAGAAATTTCTTGAATAGCTAGTAAGGGTTTTACTGTTTTAGGTAAATGGATTTGAAATTGGGGTGACAAATAATTGAGGTAATGAAAACGACACCGTTTATTTAAGTGGGTTGAAAATATTTGATGTGGACCTAGGTTACGTATTGGGCTTAAAACGCTACTCAGGGTAACATTTATTCATTTAACGTTTCCACCTCCGTCAATTTTTATCTGTTAAATTTTTAAAATAAAAATATCCTAAAACGTTATTGAGAAATATGTTTATACTAGTTTTGTAAAAAAAATTTAAAATGTATTATTTTGATGAATTGGTTTAAATAATGGCTTAGTTTGGTTCAACATGCATGTATGGATCTTTTACCTCCAAAAAAATATGCTAGTTATAGAGTCATAGGCTTAATTTTGACTATGAATGCAGACGTTGAGAAAAAATGTGAAACAAAGTCAGACACCCTTCACATTAAAAGAGTGATTTTCGGACATGATTCACGTAATGCTAACGGTAAGAAAACAGATCCTAATTAACTAATTAACGTTGAAAATAGAAATGAGCTAAATAAAGCGAAATAGAAAAAATGAACTTGAAACAATTTTGCTGGGAAAAGTCTGGTGAACCTTTATACTTGTATCAATTTGTATTCTGAACCCTTCTACTTACAGCTTTGTCATGTGGACCCTTAAACTCAATTAAAATGAGACTTTTAAGCCCCTCCAACCATGTGTGTAGCTCACTCTCCTTTATATAATTGACATGTCATATGCACGTCATATATATTAATGCCACATCATAATTATATCATAACTATTTTTTAAAATTATTAACCAAATAATATAGGCGAAATGGTCTGGTGAACCCTTATGCTTGTATCAGTTTGTATTCTGAACCCTTCTACTTACAACTTTGTCATCTGGACCCTTAAACTCAATTAAAATGAGACTTTTAAGCCCCTCCAACCATGTGTGTAGCTCACTCTCCTTTATATAATTGACATGTCATATCCACGTCAGATATATTAATGCCACATCATAATTATATCATAACTATTTTTTAAAATTATTAACCAAATAATATAGGCGAAATGGTCTGGTGAACCCTTATGCTTGTATCAGTTTGTATTCTGAACCCTTCTACTTACAACTTTGTCATCTGGACCCTTAAACTCAATTAAAATGAGACTTTTAAGCCCCTCCAACCATGTGTGTAGCTCACTCTCCTTTATATAATTGACATGTCATATCCACGTCAGATATATTAATAAATCTACCCATTATAGTTTCTCCCCTTCCCATTGTTTCATGGCCCAAACCATCGCCGCCGTCGCCATTGTTGCAGGCGAAACCACTCATATTCCTTCTTTTACCTGCCTTCATCTCCGCCACACGTCATGACCATTTTCCTTTCCTTCTCCAACCTCACAAAACCAACAACCTAAGCCAACACACTAGATCTAGCAGAAAAATAGATTGTGGAAAAAAAGAAAAAAGGGTTGGGCAAGGGATGAATATGGCTGAAAATGAAGTGTAATGGGTGAAGAAGAAGGAGTTTTTAATTAATGGTTTTAAAAAAATATTTTTTTTATAATTTCAAGTATTTTTTAAGTAAAAATGCTCCTCACTCGCCTTAATAGGCGTGTAGTTACACACTTTTGCCAACTTAGACATCTTACTGCCACATAAGTCTGGTCAACGGTCAGAGGGTTTGTTAAATTGTGTTTTATTGAGTTTAAGGGTCCAGATGACAAAGTTGTAAGTAGAAGGGTTCAGAATACAAACTGATACAAGTATAAGGGTCCACCAGACCATTTCGCCAATAATAAAATGTAAAATAATAACATTTTAATTAATCATTGGCATTTCTAATTCTCCCTATTTCACGACCAAAAGAAAGCCATCACCGGCGTCGTCGCCATTTTTGCCGGCGAAATCATATATACTTTCTCCCTCACCCATCTTCATCTCCGCCGCACACCATCACTATTTTTCTTTCCTCCTCCAACCTCCACAGTAACAACAACTTAAACCACCGCACAACCAGATCTAGCCAAGCTTTTCATAATCTTCACACCCCAAATTGCTTACACTTGGTGTGATGATGGGATAGAGACATGCTTTGAAGTTATAAACACCAAAAAGTTCAAGTATTTGAGCTAATATTCATAAATTTTTTTATGTATAAACATGTTAAAGGAAATACTTGATAAAATTTCATATTAAACTGTTTTTCCTTAAATTTTTATCAGTAAGTGAGGCTAAGCTTTGACACTAAAAGTTAAGTTAAATGAATAGTGAGATAGTCTTTTGTAGTTCTGTTTAATGATTATGATTCATTTATTCTTAATCAAAAATTTCAAAAAGATAGTTAATGTAGGAGATAAACTAAAAGAAGATGACAGCTAACACAGGAAAATCCGAGTACTTAGCTAACAAAGTTTAGAAGGGAGAAGAAAGATCAATGTGATCAATGTACAATTACAATTTGTATTTATACACAACCTGAATGAACTACTGAACTGGCCAGCCTTTGCACTAACTGAGGCCTGAGCTAACTTACTGTCGTGAACAGTGTCAACTAACTCTTTTGAAATACTAACTGCCTAATATAATTGTAACCACAACTTAATTTTATTAGTCGTTGTACAGCAAAAGTTGTACAAATTTCTAGGTTTAGTTATTTAAAGCAAAAAGTGAGGGTGTGCCCCTTATTTCTCTGAGAAATTATTCTTGCTTCTTCTTAGTTAAAAATTTATCAAAAATATGACTTCTTATCTAATTAGTATTGTTGCTCGGAGTTGAGATTTTACAATTGTGTATTTTATTGTAGCATATGCTTTCGTGTATTTGGATTTTTGATTGTACGCATGACATTCAGTTTTCATCTCTTCTGCTAAAGACAACCACTACAAGAAAAAAGTGAATTACATCGGGATTTTTATGGGGATTAGTATGAAAATTTGCAGGAAAATAATTTTCCTGGGAATTTTCATACTAATCCCCAGGAAAATTCCCATGTAATTCACAATTTTTCTGTAGTGAACGCTAGCCTTTGTATAACAGCAAAGACACAATGTATCCGCATAGAAGAAAATTCTATTTCATCATGAAAGTTACTCTTTGACAACCTTTTATATTAGTTGACGTAGCTAATGGAGAACATTACAGATAAAGAAGTCGTTGAAAATATAGCAAACTTGATGTCATTTAATGATGCATGCATCTTTAATTTGTTAAAGAATGACAAAAGTCCCACATCGATGGTTAATGAGATGGGTAGACTCCTTATAAGGCTTGGGCAATTCTCCTCCCTTTGAGCTAGCTTTTGGGATATGAGTTAGGCCTAAGACCTAATTTAACATGGTATCAGAGCAGGGTTCGTCTCACCCGATGTTGGGTCCCCAAAATCAAAAATTGCCCATACACCAGATACTACTGGGCGTGAGGTGGGGTGTTAAAGAATGACAAAAGTCTCACATCGGTGGTTAATGAGATGGGTAGACTCCTTATAAGGCTTGGGCAATCCTCCTCCCTTTGAGCTAGCTTTTGGGGTATGAGTTAGGCCTAAAACATAATTTAACATAATTGTGATGATTATTATTTTACTCTAGAACACATCTATGCTACATAGTGAGTTATCTACTACAATTTGATATTTCCTTAATTCGTTTATCAATGGCTGAAAAGATTGCCTACTACCTTTCAGCTGTCATCTATGTGGCTATTTTCAAAGCTCTGCAGAAGTCACCATCAGTTGTTGTGCTAGATTGGCTGCTGATAATCTTATTTGTATAGTATACTTCACAGCATTGTTTGCATTGGCTTCTAAAATACCTATTGAGGCTACTCAATCAGCCACTGGTATGTACACCGTTCAAATGATAAAATATTTCAATGCTCCTTGTCATGTTATCTTCTGTTCCATCCCTATTGTAATAGTAAAATTTAAAATGCCTGGAACTCTTTATGAATCCTCAGAATGGAAACTCAAATTAAAGACTCTTGAAGTATGGTTATGTTGAAATTTTATTCCCTTTCAAGTAGTAGAATTATTTGTTGTTTATCTGAAATACCTATAACCGGAGCGCTAGACCAATCCATAAGCCTTGTAAATCAGATTGGATTGTTTGACCAAAAGCTTAGGCGCTTATTGATAGAAGGGGAAAAGGCTAGACCAAAATCTGCACTAGCTAAATTTGTACTATCTAAATTTGTTCCAAGTTTCTAGGACTAGCTAAATTTGTACTACCTAGGATCACGATGCATGTTGTATTAGTAGAAAATCTGCATTTGCAAAATCTATTCAAAGTGTGTCGAAACACCCCCGAACTCCTTGAATCCCAAATCGAACTTCCCAAAATATCCCAAAACATTGTATAAACCTACTGAAAGTTTCAAATCAAGGAATGGGGTACTAATACTTAAAACGAGGGATTAGATTGTTACATATAGTTTCTCTCATTAAAAACTTTAGTTTTTTCCATTTCCTAATCAGTTCTTTTCTTCTTTCATTTGACATTTGCAACTACTACTGGGATGGGAAGACACATAGGTCTGCTTCATACGTCATTTTCTTTGACAACAACATTTCAGGTACTTGCTGTGATGCTTATTTCTGAAAGTGTGTTGACTTCACTTGATTAATCATTTGATCATTTAATTGCTATGTTTGGCATTGTACAAAAGGTAGGTGGGGAAATCCTCATAAAAATAGCTATGCATAAATTTAGAAAGAATATCTTCTAAAAATATAAAATAGGAAAATATATTGATGAAGAAAAGAACAAATTAGTGGAGAAAACAAACAATTTATGGGGGAAAATAAATCACCTCAAATCCTTAGGATGAAGAGAATAAAGGACCTATGCAGCAAATGCTAACCTCCCTTCAAGTGTACTCAAACAACCACGACTTCATATAAAGAAAAGGGAGTGTTGAATGGTCCTCAGGGCTAACAGTGAGGATTTTAGATGTTTTGAATTGTGACTGCAATTAACACTGAGGATTTTGGGAGACCTGAAGAGCGGATTTGGGAAATAGGAGTTTCGAATCGTGCTCAAAGTAAGGTGAACACCAACAAACTTCACAGTTTCACATAGCTAAAAGAATGTGTTTCATATTCAACTGAAAGGAATGCAAAATAACATGATATAATATTAGTATGGATTGAGCAATTTGAACATACTATAGGTCAATGATGAATGACCATTTCAAAACTAATCTAAGAAGGTAGATAGATGAATTTACAACTTGATAGGTCCAGTTTGACTGATGGATCACTCTACTGTTTATATTTCTTAGATTTGCAATAGTAGTGCAATGGCATGGCATCTCTACTTCAACTATTTGCTTTAAATAGTGGAACACTTCCCTTGATATGATATATGTATAAAATGTATCATGTTCTAATTTTCTATTTTTAATAATTGTGAGCATCTGAATGTTGAGAACTAATTTTTCAAACATTTTTTGTTATTTTGTAAATAGAAGGGAACATTTTACCATTTTGGATTATTGAAGAAAATGTTTGTGTGTTGTGACGAAGAATCACTGATGAAATAGCAAGTAGCTCGGAGAAGCTAATGTCTGCGAGGAAGGAACTAAAACAAAACTAGCGACTCTGTACCGCATAATTTTTTTAAAAAAGGAAGATTTGCTCCTTCACCCTTGTTTTTATGAAAATATCATGTTTCTGTGTTCCTCCATGGTTCGATAACAAAGAGACATGCCCCTTGTGTTGTACAAGTATTACTAAATATATGTATGTAAGCTTTGCTGGAGTTGCTATATTTTCTTTGTAATTTGAATTCTTAAGATGCATGATTTCAACAATCACATGCAAGTACTTAGTAACGTTTGATATTGTGTTTTGGCTGCTAATCTTAATAGTTACATGGCTACACCAACTTGATGAACATGAATACATTATAAAGGTAAAAATATAAATGCATAGTGCCTTCAGACACTTCATTATATATTGCAATAATTTTCATGAAACTTATGATGTTGGGTCCGTGCTTAGCACGGGCCATGCTCTATCTAGTTAGAAAAGTAAGAAGAAGAAAGTGTCAAACTTATTGAATTTATTTATAATATGATAATATTTATTATTTTTGGACAAGGGGAAAAGAAATCTTCAAAATGCCAACATTTGTCGGAAAAGCCCTGAATTTTTTGGAGTTTCGAATAAATAAAAGTGAAAAAATAAAAATGTAAGAATAGATTAAAGAAAGTCAAAAAAATAATGTTATAGTGAATATAATGAAGGGAAAAGGGTAAAAAATATCCTTCAATTTTGTTTTATTGATTCACTATGCCCTCACCGTTAAAATGAAGTTATTTTTACCCCTGCCGTCTACAAACTTGTCACATATACCCCTCAATTGGATGGAAAACCTCAAATCAACAAAAATAACCCGATTTACTTAAATTGACCAATTTTAACCCGACCCGACCCACTAGTCATTTAACCCACCTGTATTCATTTTCATTTTTTACCTAATTTATTCACCATCTCCATATTTCCTACTGTTCATCGACATCAAATCCTCTTGAAGCTTCACGCCTTCTTTTCCGTCTTTTCCACAACTCCCATCCCGAGCATCATCATTGCCATTAGAGGCAATACCCCACTCTCTTCCTCAAAACCTCCCCCAAATCGGATACTTCCAGCAACGTTAGACGCGAAATCCTATTAACTATCGCTGATACTCTCTATGATGAAGCCGACTTTGATTTGTCAACTGATGTTGTGAAATTTGAACTGCTTAACGGTTTAGTAAAACTGTAGAAATGGGTTCTAGAATTTTTTGCATCTTGGACTGTGGAATTTGTGAATGCACATAAGGTGTTTGATATGTGGAAATGGTTATGGAACGATGATACAAAGAATGAGAGATAAATCGATTGAAACACCTCATGCTTACGGCATAAGAGCTTCTGACCGAATTGCTGGGGCTTTGTAATGACGCCAGAACAGTGATTACGATGGCGATGGGTTTAAGCGTCTGGGAGAAGTGGGGAGGTTGGGGAGGTTGAGGTTTTAGGCTACTTGTATAGACTTAATCGGATCCGACTTAATCCCCTTAGGTTATGGAAATGTTATTCATGTCTTTAAAATGTATTTTCTTCCATTGTTTTTTGCTTTTAGGTATATATCCAAAAAGATGAAGATGAATATAGGTGGGTTAAATGATTAGTGGGACGGGTCGGGTTTAAATTGGTTAATTTAAGTAAATTAGGTTATTTTTGTTGATTTGGAGTTTTTCATTCAATTGAGGGGTATATGTGACAAGTTTGTAGACAGTAGGGATAAAAATAATTTTATTTTAACGGTGAAAATTTAATTAATCAATAAAAGAAAGTTGAAGGGTATTTTTGACCCTTTACCCTATAAAGAAAGATAGGATCACATGAGAAAATTATCAAAATAATTAAAAAAAAATTATTCATAGGACCATTTTTTTTTTTGGTAAAAATTCATAGAACCACGTTGAGACTAAAATTTTGCAAATATGTCACATCAGTGAATTAGTGTACCTCTCTTTTTCGGTAACCACCTAAAGTTGACACAAACTTTTATTTAGACACTTTAACCGGCCTTTGTTTATTTTAAACACTTTATGTAGATGTCTGTTGTGTCATTTTGACACTTTTTTACAATCAGCAAAAACACTAAGGAGAGTGTAACACACTCGTCGATGATGTGTCAAAGTAACGAATTAACTGAAGACATGTGGCATATAAACCAAAAACAATTAACAATAAATGTACTATAAACAAAAACATATTTTTAAAACTAATTAGTTATTTACTTAAAAAATAAGTTTCATTTTATTTTTAAAAAAAAATCAAAAAACCTTGCAGTGCCCACTTTCTTTCTCACCATCTCCATCTCTCCTCCTCTGACCACCATGAACATCTTTTTCGAATTTGATAAAATTATGAAAGATTAACGGAATGAAAAGTACTTCCTCCATCTATTTTCACTATCATCAGGTCATAACAATCTCCACCTCCGCTTCTATCTCTTTCATAAATAATGAATTTGGGGATGCAACAAGAACTTAACTTCCTCCATAAAAGAAGTGACCTTTTTTACCTAAATTCTCCCCTAATTGATTATTGTAATTGTTCTCCATTGAGTAATTACTTTCGATGAGATTTCATCATCTTTTTCTTTTTGACGAAACAGTCAAAATTATCAGCTTTGAGTTTGACCAAATAATTTATGCTTTCCTAGAGGTAAAATTGCAGTACAAAGAATTTTGCATATTGAAGGATAGAAAAGGAAAGGGATCTTAGAAGATTATTATGGCTAGATGTGAGCAATAAAAAGATATGCACCACCATCAAAACCTCCAGATTCACGGCCTAATCCAGTCTTTTTCTTCTTCGACGAAGTTTTTGAATAATTTCGGCAAGGTTCATGACAATCGAATGGTGAGAAAATTAGGGGGAGAAGGTTGAATACGGTGGTGGATGATGGAGGAGGTGTTGGAAGGAGAGAGAACGAAGAAAAAGAAATAAAGAAAAAAGTAAAAATGTACAATAATTAAACTTTTCACGAGCTCAAAAACAGTGCAACGCACTCAATATGCCAACTCAGCAAAAAGTGTCAAAATAACACAATAGAACATGACATGACGTATCTAAAATAAGCAAAATTTAATTGAAGTGTCTAAATAAAAATTGATGCCAACTTTAGATGGCAACCGATGGATTTGGCCTTTATAATATAATGCATTATGATATGGACAACATGCATGTACGGCTCTTTTGCCTCCAAAAAAAATATGCTAGTTATAGAATCATAGGCTTATTTTTTACTATGAAAATATAGACGTTGAGAAAGAATGTGAAACAAAGTTAGGCATCCTTCACATTAACTTTTCTTGAGGTGTGTCAGAGGACACTTTGTTAAGGATACTTCACCTGATATAGTTATATTTCCTATTTTTCAACAAATTTTTTTAGTATAAAACTAAGAATCAGAATCTAACAAAGACTAAATATGAAAACTTAGTATATATTCGTTCGACTATTATAGAAGTGTGGGTATAAGCTTGGTATCAACAACATGTATGCTTAAAGGCATTTTGTATTTGTTCAAGGGTATTTTTGACTTCACATAAGACCACATTGCAACGTGTCATTTACCTAAAAATTGAAGAGCCACCGCACAGGTCACAACAAAGCATGTGGAAATTTCTCAGTTCTCTGTCGGTGATAGAAGCTGCGCACATCTTTGGTTTTTTCTGCCTCTATTTGGTTGCATTCATCCCTGATTTTCAATTCTGGTAAATTAATTTTCTCTATTTGTTTGCAATTCATATTTTTCCTGATAGAATGAAGAATTTTCTTTGTTCTTTCTTCCTTCAATTTACAAGAGGTTGGTAATGAGACGTTAATGGGGGTTCTCTTTTGAGCCAACTCTTTCTATCAGCGTTCAATCTCTCATCGGATCGAGTTGTTTTAGACGAAGTCCCAATTTCGATATACTGCTCTTCGGGTAGTCTATGTGTTAATTTTTACAAGGGGTTGTTTTAGTTCTGTTTCATTTTTCTTTTATTTATGATTTTTGTTGTTTCTGATTCTTTATGTAATTGGGTCGCCGTCTTCATTAATGTGTGTAGAATAATAGAATTTCATGAGAATAAAAATTTTGATTTTTTTCCTCCATTTAATTTTGAGTTGCAGAAACGAATTACTTTGCAGGTGACATTCGCAGCTAGCTCAATTTTGCGGGGAAAGATGATCATCATACACTGAAGCTTCAATTTTGGGGAAGGTGACAATTGCTTATTCTTCTAAAACATTCTTATTATTTGCTTAAACTTTTGTTCTCTTAACTTTGTAAGGTTTGAAGTGGTACTAAATTGTTTAGTTCTTAGTTGTAGGTTGTCCCATGGTATTGGTGATTAATTGATTATTATATTTCACGTTTCTATGTCTAGGTCTTATATTGCGTCTAAGTCTGATGTAAAGGTCAATATTCATAGCGTGAAGGATCTTCTCTTTAGGTCAATTGGTATTCTGAAAAATCCTTGCATTTTTGCCAATCTTTCCAATCATATATTGTATACCACTACAATTAGCGCTGCTTTCATCATAGGTCCTCCAATTTTTATTCCTCTAGCCTATAGATTTACCCATTTTCATTAAATCTAAGTAAGAAAGTCCTGCCAAATTGCATTTGTGAAATAGCAGTTGAAAAAAAAAAAGATTAGTAGTTTCATTCTCAACTTGGAAAAAGGAGCAACTCCCATCAGCAATAACACCTCATTTGAAAATCATATCTTTGATTCTTAGCTTGCCACGGAGAGCCAGCGACAATATAAACGCATGCTTAGACTCAGCAATATTGGTCCTGTTTATTTGTGAGCTTGAGCAGGTGAATGCTTTGGCTTTGAAAGGAAGAAATGTTACTTGGATAAGTATGTATAACAGAACATATATGTAGCATCATATGTTAATTGAGAGATTCGATTGTTGAATAAGTATCCAACATGATTGATATGTTACTTAAGAGAGTTCAGCAGCTCAATAAGTAACCAACAGGATTCATATGGAAGACCTTGGCGGGACTTCATCTTCTAATGTCGAGGTACATATTTAGTTTGAATTTGGTATAACTATCTATTTCATGAATTTGTGTAAAATTAACAGTTTATATCTTTCATATCGTACTCCGATTTTTAAGTTAAATTTTGATGTATAATCAGAAGATATTTTCATTTAATGCAGTAGCTGGAATTAGAAAAATTTGTTTCTTACTTGCTATTTTTTACTACAGTTGAAGCAACTTCTGCTGCTGTTTTTGGGATGCTGCTACAACTGTTTCTTGAGGCTATGATATTCGGTTAGTTCAACTGGTTACAAATCAAAATTTCAATACGTTAATAACTTGGCTTAATTGATGGTTTATATATATGCACGTGATGCCACCTAATTACAAGGCCGAGCCACAAGGATTACATAATTTTATTTTTTCTAAAAGCGAGAAGATTATACATGTTAAGATCTACGGTATCTTTTTCACTCTTTATTGTGATGGCATTTTCTTTTTGCAGGATATTGACAATGAAGTTGCATAACACTTCCAGATGCTTGCCAAAAATGTTCCCGCTACTAAAGTAATTTTGTATGACAAGTTACTCATTCATTGTTAGAATGAAATCTTCTCCAGGTTAGAGGATATTGCTTCCTTGAGAGATATATAGTTTATAACGCACAAGTAGCAAGAGGTGGTTATAGTATCAAAGTTGTGTTATAGATAGTTCGCCAATTCCGTCTTTGTTTGACAGGAAAAATCGAATAAGCATAGGACCTATACTAGCAGCGCAGCAGTGATAGGTGGCTTATGCGCAAAATTGATGAGTTTCAGCTATCACACTTTTTTAAGGGTTTGTATCTTATTGGCATGTTTAATTATGTAAACCTTTTTCTTTGAGATATGCTTATCTGTAAATGATTGGTTCCATTAGTTCATGAAAAGGTTTCTTCGATCTGATGTAATTGTGATTCTAAAAAAGTACAAAAACTATGCTACAAAGCTTTGGAGGATGTTGCCGGTTGGTATGTACTTCGTTCTGGTTTGGTGCTTCTTAAGCCAATCTTATCACTTTGAAAGTAAAATTGTACTCTACTTAATTTATGCAAATAAAACTTTACGCAGTCATCAAATGTCATTTGAAAACATGTTATAGCACATAAGTATTTGAATACATGATGTAACACACAAATGCACGGGCCAATACCATCTAGTACTGTCATACAAGAACAGGATTTATTTATGATTTGTCTCACTTTCCAAGAGGAAAAGAACTAAGAATATTTATTGGAAAGATTTTTCATCCCAGTAAGAGGCCACAACGTTATATGCAAGTTAATGGCCAAAAAAGGATTAATGGCTGATAATTAAAAAGATGAATAATTGTCAATTATAGGAAGGTTACTACAACGGTAGAGAAATTGATAATGTTTCTCATCAACAAGTCATTTAAGGCTTGGTCAAATTGACTAAACAAATATGTTTGGTAACTGACCAAATATCTCATAATGAATATCATGAAGACTATTAAGGACTTTCAATAGTCATCAAAATATGTCACAATTAACAAGATATGAAGAAATGAACCAAGAACATAATACAAATATTTCTTTTTGAGATACTAGAATTATTTATCCAACAAAATGTTAGTATATGTTTGTGACTCGCTTAAATTTCTCACCGTTAGCTTTACGTGAAAATAGAAATTTAAGCGAGTCACAAACACATACGAACATCTATGCGTCTACTCTGAAATTAAATATGAGAGAAAGGAGTATTGACTTTCATCAACGTAAAGACAAAATACAGACATTGATACGTATTTTAAAGTGCTCACTGAATATTTATATGACTATGTTTAATTTCTATAAATCAAAATGAGGCAAAAGGCACGTAATTATATGGGGCGGTAAATTTATTTTTTCTTTCCAACAGGCCAAATAGGTATTAGAAGTACAAAAGGACCACAATTTAGACCAACAAAAAAGCAAACAAACTACACAGCAAAAAGTAAAAATATCTGGAAAGTAGCTCAAGTGTTCTTGCCTTCTTCTCAAATTCTTGGTGTGCAAATCCATGGAGCTCAGTTGCTTCCAACTATTGAGCTCAAAGGTAAGCTTGTTATACCTCGAATCGTTGACATTTTTAATCATTTCGCTACATTTTCACTTTATTTATGTTGTTGCATTTGACTTGTTGTTGTTGCGAATCTGTGGGTTGTTTCTTGAGTTCTCGAAGAATTCGATCAATACAGATCTTGACTATAATTAAGAATCTCTTGTTACTTTAATTGATGTTTTGCTTATCTCTCGGTCTAAGCTTTCTAAAAAAGATAATGTACAATAATTTTCAGATCTAAAATCAATGGGTTGAATCACCATTAAAATTATCACCTTCATATTATTAACATTCTCTTTATCTGAAAACGCAGTGACTTGAAGATACGACCAACTTTAAGTTTTTTATAGCTTTTGCAGCACTACGGTAAGACTAAAATTTCGATCTTTATTATTTCCTTGATTTTTCCCAAGTTCTAGCCTTGATTAATGACATATGACATAAATTAAATTTAATGACTAAGATTTAATTAATTAAAATATATCCTTAATCATGGTTTAGATAATAATATATTATTATATCAATTAAAAATAATCTTATTATTTCTCCACTTTTCTCCTTATTCCCTCCAAATTCAATTGTCTCTCTCTTTTCTCCCTATTCCCTCCAAAAATACTATTTGGTTGTTAGACAAAAATACCAAAACATGTTTATTTATTTACTCATTTGTCCTATGAAAAAAGTTCTATTTTTCTGACCTAGTAGACCCCACATGCTGCAAATATTACAACAGATCCCATATCTCATATCTAATGCCTTTATTTCCATTTTGGGTGAAAATCCCATTTAAGATTCTGGTATTTTTGTATAATACTTTTGCCATTTTATGGGAAAAGGTTGTCTTTGTCTGCTTCTATGTAACATAAAAAAAATCGGAAAGTAAATCGCTGGGTCCCATTTTTGTGATGACTTTATTCTATTTTCAATAAAAGTTCTGGATTCTATTTTTGTATACTTTTGCCAATCTTATGACAAAAGGAAATACGCTTGTCGTTTGTGTAGGATTCGAAAATTTTCTTTGCCACATTTTATAATTTGCTTATTCCCTAGTTATACCGTGTCAAGTGAAAAGTTGGGTCCCATTTCAGAAAATGGCCTAAATTTCTTTTTCTCTCTCTTCTTTTTAACGTTTTTTTTTTTCTCTTTCTTACTTTTTTTAACTTCTTTTTCTTTGGTTTCTTTTTCAACCAATGGTTCCAAATTTTCTACTTCCATACTTCAATAATTTTATTCAGGAAAAGTATGAAATTCAAAATCTTTTGCTTGATTCATTCTATTTCTAACATTTTGATATTATTTTTCCATCTCGATATTAATTATTTATATTACTAAAAATAGTTATATAAAATTATTTGTTAATTTACAAAGATATAATTAATTACAATTTTTCTATTTGAAGTCCTTAAATTTGTTAATTTGAAGTCCTGAAATTTATGGGTAACTATTTCGCTTTTTCTTTAACATATTTTTCTGCCTGATAAAAATAATGGGTTATTTATTTATTTTTTTAAAACAATAATGGGTTGGTTTTAACATCAAATTAACTACCGTCTTTATTTACATTGTTGATTCAATAGAAATTCGTCAACTTTTTTACCTAAATGATTTCTCTTAGCCTATTCCCGTCAAATTTTATCCACTATATTTCTGTGGTTTTTTTTTTTTGTCTATAACCATGTGTTACATGATGTTCCTTTTGCTTCTTAATCTCAGCTAACCCAATTTGCAATAAAAGATGAAGGCATCTATTTTACTGGTACGTCTAGTCTAACTCATTTGTATTTTTAACTTTTAACTTGATTTGTCCTCCTCTATTTATATTTAACTAGATTTATTGCACGTGGCAACCTCGTTGAGATGCCTATTGCTTGGAAGTGTCTGCATGCTCTATTTTACGGAATTTAACCATGTGAAAGTTTAGTTAAACGTCCATCACTAGTTAGCTAATAATAACGAAAAAATATTCTCTCTTCTCTATCCTCAAACTGACATCGACAAAACGGCTTAAATGGAATATTAGGGGCATCATTAGTACACTTATATGGAATATTAGGGGAATTAGAACTGCTCTAGAGATCGACTGAAATTCCTATTAGTATCCAATAACAATTCTTTTATAGCTATTTTGGAACCTAAAGCTTCACAATAACAAAAGAGCTTTGGGCTTCTCACAATATATATCAACAACAAGATTTGGTTATTTTGCAATGACTCTCTGGATTGTACTATAGTTGATGACCAGGAGCAGCTCATGTTCTCTGAAGGGTGACAATGGCATTTTGAGTGTCTTCTCTATAGTATATGCTAAGACTGAATCTAAGCCAAGAGAACCATTGTGTGATGATCTTAGAAGACTGGCCAACTCTATTAACCAGCCTTGGTGTATTTTTGGGGATTTCAACTGTATCATTGAAGCTTCAGAGAAGCAAGGAGGCAGACCTCAAAAAGCTATGCCTTTTATTAATTGCATTGTGGATTGTGACTTAATTGATATGGGGTATTCTGGTCCAATTCATACTTGGTGCAATGATTGGGCTTCCGAAAAGATAATTTGGAAAAGGCTTAATAGAGCTCTTTATAATAATCATATATGGGCTACAAAATTTCCAAACTCATCATTGGTACATCTCCCTAGAGTGGACTCTGATCATGCTCCATTACTAATCAATCTTCATACTGCCAAAGTTCCTTCTATCAAGTATTTTAGGTTTTTTGAATCTTTGGACTAAACAAGATGGGTACAAGAGGCATGGAACAGTAATATCTTTCTAGAAGTTTCATCAGAAACTTAAACAGACATGCTCTAAACTCTCTTTGGGTCTTGAGAGATATTTTTACTGATACAAAACATCTGGAAAATGAGATCGCAATTCTAGAAGATAAATGTTTAACCATTAATGATGATCAATCTAGAGCTGAGCTGAGCTGAACAAAAAGAAGGCAGAACTGACTAAGCACCTGAAAAAATCAAGAATCTTACTGGAGACAGAAAGCAAACTTTCAATGGGCTAAAGAAGGTGTCTAAATCTAAATACTAAATCGTTCAATAGAAAAAGAAGAAAGCTTTAATATTCTCAGGATCAAAGACCAGTCAGGACAATGGATTGAAGATGAGGATCAGATAGCTGAGGAGGCTGTCACTTTCTATGAGAATCTTTTCACTGAAAATAATCATGTTAAGGATATTAGGAGCCTGGATTGTATTCAAAGTGTGATCTCCGTGCAGGATAATCATCATCATACCAGAATGCCTGATATTGCAGAGCTGGAGGATATTGTCTTTTCTTTTAATCCAAATTCCGCTCCTGGACCTGATGAAGTTACTATAATGACTTGAGCAAGATGAAGCAAACGATTCTTTCTTAATCAGTTACAAATTGAACTATATACACAAGCAAACTAACAGAGTCCCTCCTACGGTGGAAACTATCTAGAGATCAGGGAAAATAAAATACTAGACTCTTAGAATAGTGGAAACAAAATAACTAATAATACAGTAAAATAATCTACCTATACAACAGTAACTATAAGAATTAAGCAGTAATAAATAGTGTTCTAATACACCCTCCTCAAGCTAGATGGAGTGGAACAACACCTAGCTTGGACAAATGGTAATGAAATGAGGTTCTTGGAAGCGGTTTGGTGAGAGAATCAGCCAGCTGGTCAGAACTAGGAATGTGCTTGAATGTAAGGCGTTTATCGTTAACCTGCTGGCGAACATAGTGGAAGTCAACAGCGATAAGCTTCATGCGGCTGTGCAGATTATTGTTCTCACATAAGTAGGTGACACCAAGGTTGTCACTAGAAAATGGTAGGTGGTGTGAGAATTTTGACATGAAGTTCCTTG